AAATTTCTCACATTCACACACACGGGGGAAAAGATACTGAATTTGAATTAAGACTGCCTGAGTGTAGTCTGTATCCATATGCCAAGCATAATTGCCTCTAATTTGGCACTATCTCCTATGGAAAAATATTCATTTCTATGAACAGTTTTACATGAAAAGCTATTTTAAAATGAGTTATATTAGATGAACTTTTTTTCTCGTCTTTGGTAGTAACTCATTATTAGAAAGCAGAACTCATTGTGCAAAGGAAATTAGAATGGTACACGTTCCTTAGCTGGATACCTGCAGGAATCCAAGCCCAGGAAGGAATTATTCACTATGTCCTTTAAAAATGATTAGAAAACTAATCTAAAATTTAACTTTTGATTCTCCTCTGAAGGTCATCAGGGAAGAGTGAAGGGCAGAGGACTGAAGAAGATTGCAGGGGGTTCTTGACACCAATGACATTTAAATACATTTAACTAAATAACATTTAAATACAAGAAGTAAATTGACACTGTTTCTAGGTACTTGGTTCTGTGTACCAATTAATGAGATGGTGCCTTTCTATTAACCCATGCAGAGCAGATCAGCTGTTTACCTGAACTAGATGAAGTCATTGTGGACATTGCACTAAAGCTTTGAGATTTAGTGATATTCAGATATTAAAAATTATATAAGCAGCCACAACAACAACAACAAAAACTCCAAGAAGTCTTCAAGGTGACTGTCTAGAAACACTCTCTTCGATTCCTCTTATTGGAATTTTATGACCTCTAGGAACAAGAATAATTTTGGTTATCTTCTACTATACCCATTTTCTAAAGTATGCTAAATAGAGCCTTTAGGTTATTTGCCAAGTTAGATAGCAAAATGGCAAAAGTTAACCTCACTACAGCTGGGATACAGAGTTAATAAAATATAACTAATAATAAAAAAAATAAAATAAAAAAGTTAACCTCAATGAGTTCATCAGGTTAAAACAAGCATGTAACACTTCTGACAAATCTGACCAAAATGTCCTCTTTACGGCAATTACATGTGAATCATAACACAGAACTTAATGGCCTTTCCTCTTATTCACTTTCAATCTTCCCTTCTTTGCTTTTGGTCCCACCAGCCCCACTGCGCAAATCGTCCGGGACTCCTTTTGCTCTCTCACCCCTCCCTGCAGCAATCATTGCTTCTACCATGTGCTCTGAGGCCACACAGCTCTGATGCATGGTTACCTTTTACCTTCCCTGTTGCAAAAGCAATTTTTCTCTAACTCCTTGGCTGCAAAGCTTTAAAAACCCAAGTTAACTGTATCAATACTCGTTTGCTTAAAATTCCTGAACACTTTGCGTTATAAATTCACATTAGACTGTGAATACAATCCATGCTCTACACCGGGACACCCCCAGCGTGACACCTGCCTCACAGCCTTCACAGACTTTGTTCTGTGCGGCAACCCCCTCCTGTGTTGGCTACGGTTAGTATTGCTGTGTCGAAACACAACAACTAAAAACAACCTGGGGATCAAATGATTTATTTTCCTTACACTTGCACATGAAAGTTCATAATCAATGGAAGTTAGAGCAGGAACTCAAGGCAGGAACCTGAAGGAAGGAGCTGCTGCAGTGGCCATGTTCTTATTGGTGTTCTTGTTGGCTTGTTCTTTATGGCTTGACTTTGCTCAGCCTGTTTCTTGCAGATCCCAGGGACACCAGACCAGGGTCATCAGATAACTGCCTACAGCCCAATTTTACAAATGCAATTTTTCAGTTGAGATCTCCTCCTCTCAGATGATTCTACCTTGTGTGACGTGAGGACAGTTAGCCCTGCCCCCCACCAGCCACGGCACCAGGAAGAGCAGGCCCTGGACCTCACCTGGGGAACACAGTAGAGCTGACCCTCTTCAGCATCTGCCTTATCGATGACCTGGTATAGCGCACAAAGGGGCTGGTCCTGCAGATCCCAAACTACAGTCTCTCACAAAAATACAGCGTGACACAGGGCAACAACAGGCCATCTGAGAGGAGTCCACGTGAATTTCCAGTATGATACAGGGGCAGAAGCCAGGGGCCTCATAGCAGACCAATGAGTCATTGCAGTGAACATCTGTAAGCAAAGCAGTGTGGACACAAGGATCTACTGTGGGATACACTGTGACACGCCACGGCTTCCACAGCGAGATTTTCTTTTCTGTTGGAGGAGGGTGCAAGATTGGAGGGTGGTCAAGGAGTGGGGAAGAAAGTGAGATTGGGGTGCATGACGTGAAATTCACAAAGAGCCAATTATAAGTTTTTAATGCAACAAAACAAAACAAAAACAAAACAAAACAAAAAAACCAAAAAAACAACCAACCAAACAAGAAGAAAAACCCAAATTAGTCAGGACACCTCCCAACTTATTATCTTGTCATGATGCCTTTTAATACACCTCGTACATTCCTTCCTTACAGGCTTGCCCCCTTCTACTTCCTCTGCCTGGGAAGCCCTCGCTCAGGCTTTCCACAGTAATTCTGTCACCATTCTGACTTCAGCAGCTTCAGTTTCTTATCACCTTGTTGTGGCTCACCCGGTCTCTCCCTTCATGCATACCACGGCATTCCCTCTGTATACATTCGTACATAGTTGTCTCCATGTTTTCCATATTTTCCAGAAAGATATTAATCATTGGATTTAGTGCCCATCCTGCTCTAGTGTTAGTCTTTAATTACCGCTGAATAACTCTATCCACAAATAAAGTTATATTCTCAGGGGCTAAGAATTAAGACTTCAACATGTAAATATTAGGAAGATACATATATTTGGAAGAAGTTAGAGCTACTCTTGAAGAAAACTGTGAGAGTCATGAGATTGGGAAGTATGTTGTAAAGTTCACAAAGACTCAATAAAAAATTAAAAAAAAATAGTCTTTCATATCTACAGTTCCAATTTTTAAAATAAACCCACAAAGAACTGTCATTCAGAAAAAAAAAAAAAACAACCAGGAAAAACAAACCAAACACCTTTCTGAACTAAAATGGATGGTAGGGCTATTTTGATGGTATTGTATCCAGATAATGAATATGATATTTAAGAATACCAATGGAATTAGAATACAGAGAAATTGAGTCAAACCAAATCAGGAAGGAAATACATCTGAATAAGAATTCAAATAATGGGTGCACTTTGTCTCTCAGACTCTTCTAATATCACTTCCCTGAGTGTACTTGTTTCTAAGAATTTCTTTAGTCTAGAACTATAAAATAACACTATTTTCTAATTTCAGCCCATGGATTGTGTGTGTGTGTGTGTGTGTGAAGGCTTTTCTATAAAACATAGCTAAGAACAAACAGAAAATACATCTTCAGTTTGGTATGTGGCTAAAATAGGAATATTTACATTTGTATATTTTCAAACAGGGATACTCTGTTTAATATTATTTTACAGATTAGGCTAACAATAACCATGTCCTTGAACCTTCCATGTTTTCAATTAAGAAATGTTTGTCTGTTACCATACCTGTCATCATAAGTAGGAGAGAAAAGAGCTGGAGTTATGCACAGGTCTCAGGGCTCTGGTCTTTTAGTTTCTTTATTCTCTGAGCCCTCTTCTCCTTCCTGTTCAGCTTATAAGAGGAGGCTGAGCTAGGGTGTATAGTTCTCTTCCAGAGGATCTCAGCTCAGTTCACAGCACCCATAGCCTGGGGCTCACAACCACCTATGACTCTTGCTCTAGGGACCCACATCCTCTTCAGGATCCACAGGAACCTGCACTCACATGCACATTTTCACACATACACACGGAGAAAGAGAGACAAAGACAGAGACAGAGAAAGAGAGAGAGAAAGAGAATTTAAAAACAAACCAAAGAACAATGTAATGGAAAATCTGGAGAACACATTTATCATTGCTTAAATACATGCTTTGATAATTTCTTAAAAACTAGACAAAAGTACAAAATACTCTTGGGGGTGATAATGTAGGCTTCTACTTATTCCAAAATCCTCTTTCTCAGTTCACCCAGTTAATGAAGGTGTTAGCCTGAGCTTTATTGAAACAGTAGAAATCTGCTGTGTGTTAATGCTAAAGAACACATCTATTTGCACTGAGAAGTAACTCATATTTATTACTTTTTCCTTTTCACCTTCGTGTAACTAACTGGGTAATCTGTGCCCTTTTTATTTGGGAAATGGCTTTCTTAAGTTCACTGAGTTGCTGTCAGCATGAATCAATGGCAAGATAACAGGAACATTTTCTGGATCCTGCCTTAAAGAAATGGAGAGATTGGAAATACTATCTTTGTCCTAGAGTCTGTTATTTCTTGAAGGTCAACGGGAATGTGTGCCCCATGAAAGAAAGCAGTTTTGCAGGCTGGTTGCTGATGGAAATATTTCCATGCAAAGGATATGTTGCCAATGTGTCCCCAAAGGATACACGCCACATTCTCCCTTGACCTTAGCCAATTACCAATAGAAAAATAATGTAATGGAAGTCTTAACCACTTTTCTTGAGAAGTGTCATGCCGTTCTGAGGCTTTGCTGGAGAAATTACAGTGCCATAATGAGCCTCATAATTCATGTCAGCCCTGAGCCTTTTCATTCATTTATAAATGTTTTAGAGACACATGATTCATAATGCCATGAGCTGGTTTTCTTTCAAAGCTGTCATGCTCCCATTAATATGAACCATTCCTGCATCTTGCCAAGAGACAAACCCTGTAGTAATAATATATCATAAAGGTTAGGGTTTTCCTTGAATTGTTACAGTCAATTTTTTCTAAGCACTGTGTGCTTAGAACAAAAGAAATGGCTTTTGTAAAGAAAAAATATTGAATGCTAAAAAAGAAAAAAAAAACTCAAAGGAAAAATCTCTATATAAAGATACCACCTTAAACTTATCAACAATTATTATATCATATAGTTTACTTATATTTGAGTACTAATATAGTATAAAAGGAGGTTAGTTTTAATGATTTCTTCAAAACGCTTTTAAAAATATGCATGCGTGTGTTTATGCCATGTGTATGTGGGTGTCCATGGAGGCTAGAAGAAAGCGTCAGCTCTCCCGAAACTGGAGGTATGGGCAGTTGTGAACTGTCTGATGGTGCTGGGAACTGAACTTATGTCCTCTGGAAAAGCAGTAAGTGCTCTTAACATTTGAATTGTCTCTCCAGACCTAGCTTTAATATTTAAAAATTAAGGTAAAACTTACCATCTAAACAACAGCATCAGAATAACAAGTCCTTCGGGTATTCTTACATTTTACTTCTCTTTTAATAACTAATAATGCTTACAATGCATTTGTATCTCATAAACCTCCTCTGAGCAATGCACTATTCTAGTCAATTAAAACAGTCAAATAGTAATCATTATTCTATTAAACAAAACAACTAACGCAGCTCTTAAAAGCATCTGAAGTGATGAAACACGTGTCAAGCTGTGCATATCCTTTCGTTCATGACACCAGTCTTCATGGCTGCTATCTTCATGGCAAAACCCATTTGCTCTTCTACCAAGCAAAAATGATTATGTGTTTGAAAGACCCATTAAGTGCTCTGTCTTGTTAGAATTCCTGAGCCAACTTCCATCCAGGCAGGAAGTTAGCAATGGTCGTAGACATCCTGAAAAAAAAAAAAAGTGCTGGCCACTGGACTTGTCTGCCAGCCCTGACTCCCACCATTTAATCATGGGAGACCTTTACTTTTTATTACCACTGATTTTTTTTTTGTTAATGTTAATTGATCGCCTCTCTCTAAAGGCCAGTGTCAAATCTGAAGGCCCTTCTCCCCAGATTTTTTGTAGGACATGGCACTGAGTATTTGATCCTAGCTCAAAATCTTAAGTTTTTCTAGGGTTGGGTACATGATAGAACAAGATAAAGCTGGAACTTTATCTTGCCTGATTCTATCATAGCCTCAAGGAAAAAAATATTAATAGGGAAGAAATTTAAAGAGAAAACATAGACTCAAGAAAAAGAGAATGCAAGCTGCATGTTTTTTTTTCTAATTTCTCTAGTTATTTTTTAGTCTATTATTTTTCCCCCAAAATAAGGACATATAGTTAAAAAATTTTTAAATGTCTGGAGTCACAGAAAATACTGAAACAATCTGGGGTTGTTAGTGCTAAAGATAAAAACACAGCTTTCCCCTAATATTAGTTTTATTTTCTTAGTTTCACTCCCCTTATCAGTTCATATTTTAGATTAAGCAATAAGGCCTTTCGTTCATCCCGAGTGTGTTGTCACCGTCCATCCAACCTAATTTATTCAGCAGATATCTACTGGGTGACAACTATGAGAAATTGCTTGAAGACTTATGACATTCCAGGAGATTTTTAGGAACATTTTACCATATTAATAATTGGCTCTCTGAATCGTCCGCGTCATCTAAGCATTCGCTCAGTTCGCTTCACAGATGATACATTTGCTGCACAATGAGGTTGAAGAATTTGTCCAGGTCCATACTTTTATTGCTGAACCCTGAATCTGCAGGAAATCTGTTGCCAATATCTATACTCACCATTTTAGTTATGTCTGCCCCACGGAAGAGCCTGTAAGAAAAGATCTCAGCAGTTAGAAGACCAAATCCAGAGAGTAAAAGGACAGAGCATAGGCCCTGTACTCAGATGTAAATGCCTGCTTATAAATATGCAAAGCACAGCTGCTTTGCCTTCAAAACTTTGGCAATTTCTGAAAATGGAGCAAATTTACATTTCACATTTCAGGGTTATTTTCATTCATTTTACTCCTCAAACCAGATTTCTTTTTTTGTTTTAGCAGGAAATGATAAATCTGCCATACTGCTTAGCGCTGTTTTTCAAACAATGTTCCAAAGAACATCTGTCTCTAAGCAAAATACCAGATTCTGGTCCACCCTAAGCCTTTGGCCACCACATCTGTGCAGTCAAGAATCCTGCATTTTCCTGCATGTGGTCTATCCACTGGATCTAGAGTTTGACTTAGGCACGCAGCACTTCCTGACCATGTATCAGTGTATTGCTTCTGCACTGGTTGGTTTAGCTCAAGAAGATAGACTATGTTAACTCTCCTTCCTTTAGCCCTAACTGTCAGTCTAAGACGACAAAGTGGCTTTAAGTGGCTTCCAAACATTTGCCAAGACCTTGCCCTCTCCTACCCAGATCACACATACAAAAAGGAAAACTTACTTGCTTCCAACCCAAGGATTTTTTTAGTCTCTAATAAGAAAAAAAATCTTTCCTTATCACCTCAGCACACACATTATTCAGAGCTCTCTCCTTTAAGCAATTTTTAGAAAGCTTCATTTACCTTGAATCAAATCTTTGCTAAGTACTGACTCTAAATATTTTATTCGCTGCTTTTCACATTTGTCATAAATCTACATTTTCCTCCTAAAAAAATCTTGAAGTATTTAAAACAGTGTTGAGCAGAGTACTTACTTCACTGCCAAATTTCTTTCCTCCAGTTTGTGTTTGTGTGTCATGCTACCAGCATCCTGTCATTCTCGCTCAGAGAGCACTGAACGTTAATGCTGAAGCCGGACCAGTGACAGCTTCAGATCCTTAAACCCTGTACAAAATTCGCCTGATATGTCCACGAAGTGATGAACGCCGTGAGCCCCCAAAATGACTGTGGAGTCCACTAAAGCTGGTGTTAAAACTAGAAGTCTGCGTTCAGTGAGTGATGATCACTTGAGTTTGACCCATATAAAGGCGGGAAGAAAAAAGCAACTCCACAAAGTTGTCCTCTGACCTCCTCATATATGCTGTGGTACGCAGGGCCCCCCAAATCATGTTCACATACACACACACACACATATGAGCACACACACACAAACTAGAACTTTGAAAAGTGGCTCAGCACGGGCACACAACTGGGAGACAATTGTAGGTGATAAGTAGTATTATATGATTTGTGAACTGGCCAAAAAGACGAGGAGAATAACAGCACGCCTGCTGTTCAGAACTAACCTGATTAATTTTATAGAGGACAACTGATCAAAACCTGAGACACGTATGTGTTAAAACACAGTACAGTATGTGAGCCACAATTCTCACCAACACTAAGAAAAGAATACCATATAAGAATGTATTTTTCAAATTACAAGACTTGTTAGATCTTTAGGTTATATTTATTAATTGACTTTTTGAGTTAAGGGCACACTATGTAGCTCTGACTGCCCTGAAACTAACTTTGTAGATCTGTTTGGCCCAGAACGGGTAGAGATCTGACTATTTTCCCTCCTCAGTGATGGGATTAAAGGCTTGTGACACCATGTTTGATGTATGATTATTATTACACATTAAAAGAATGAACCATTAAATACATGCTTGCACAAAGTCGTTATTTCAAAATGGAACCTGTTTCTCGAAATCAAGTGAATGTTTTAGGTCAGATGTATAATTTTGTAACTTTATCATTATAGCATTACTTTAAAGAAGTAAAACACTATTTCTTAGCAAATTTTAATCTGCTCTTCAGAATCTACTTTAAGGTTCAACCACCTGACTTCTTATGACTTTAGATTTATAAAGATATAATTCAGATATAAGTGCTTTCTTTTTGATGGAGGCCACTACCTGGTTTCTGGGCTAAAGCTTTTCTGGAGCTCTAGAGCTCATTCTTAGCTAACCCTCTCAGGTTCAGGGGAGCATATTATTTTATCTATCTATCTATCTATCTATCTATCTATCTATCTATCTATCTATTCACTTTACATCCTAATTGTAGCTTCCTCACCTGTTATCATCCTCCCTCTGTCTTCTCCCATACCCCGTTCCCTACTCTTCAGAGAACAGAGACCCCGGCCTCTACCAACCCATCCCGGTAATCAAGTCCAATTCGAACTGCGGGTATTCTCTTCCACTGAGGCCAGGCAAGCCAGCCCAGCCAGGAAGAAATGATAAAAACAGGCAACAGAGTCCATGTCAGACATAGCCCTGCTCCTCTTAGAAGACTAAGCTGCCCATCAGCTCCATAAGTATAGGGGACCTAGGTCCAGTCCATGCATGGTCCTTGGTTGGTTGTTCAGTCTCTGTGAGCCCTCATAGACTGAGGTTAGTTTTCTCTGTTGGTCTTCTTGTAGAGTTCTTGTACCCTTCAGGTCCCTCAATCCTTCCCCAGACACTCTCACGGGATTCCTAAATCTACATCTAATGTTTGCCTGTGGGTCTCAGCATCTGTTTCGATCTACTGCTGGGTTGAGCCTCTCAGAGAATAGCTATACTAGACTGTGGTCTGCAAGCATAACAGGGTTCAGGGATTTCTAAGTCTTTGCTTCTCTGGGTCTTTCATCAACCTCAGGCCATGACCAATTATAATCTCACTTCACATCAGGCACGATGCAACTTCCATCATGGTTCCAATTGCAACAACATCTGCTCAAATCCTTGGATCTTCTAGCCTGTGTAGCTCATTTCCTTGCTCTACCCCTTCATCTTTGGGATGGAATTGTAACGGCTTTTTCCTGGTACAGAAAATCAAGAACTAGCAGAGAAGCTACTATGATTAATGACCATGTATGTCTGAGAATCTTATAATCAAAACACACCCTTAAGTCATGTCTTAGTCCTTTTAAAAGTTAGGTTCATTAGAATTGGTTATAATTCAGAGTGACCTATACTTTTAGTACTCTGACATTGATCAATGTACAGCTTCAATTTTTAAGTTATTGATATTTTTCTTTCTCCTACAATTCCTTCCTCTCTTTCTCTTTCTTTCTCCTTGTTATCTCTTCCTCCCTCTCATATATCACTACCTGAATTTCTAAATATTAATGAACAAAATAGAATATTCACTTAAAATGATTAGCTATGAAGCAAAAATTGTTCTGCATAAATCTTTCAAAATAGCCTACAGGTAAAACTAATTTTCCTCACTTTATTTAAAGGCTTATATTTGATAGTAAGAGTTTATGAAAATAAAAGGTACCATACTCTCTTCTGTGTGCTTTGTGTAAATATCTGTGGTTATTTGAATGAGAAACGAACCTCATAGGCTCACACATTTGGCACTTGGTGGTGGTGGGGTTTGGGTACGTTATGGAGCTGTTAGGACATGAAGTCTTGCTGGAGGAGTATTTCCCGGGGCGGGGGCATTGATTATTTATGGCCTTGCCCACATACAGTTCACTCTCTCTGCTTCCTGCATGTGGATAGAAATGGGATCAGCCAGCTTCCTGCTCTGGTCAGTTGCTGCCATGCCTCTCCTGCTATTTTGGACTTTACCTTTGGAACCATAAATCAAATTCTCCATTGTGTACATTGTTTCAAGCCCTGGTATTTTAACATAGTCACACAGAAGTACCTAACATAGAAGTTAGTACCAGAGAGCGGGTTTGTTGCTCAGAAGAACCTGACTACGTGGTTTTGGAAGCGCATGAGACTAGAAAAATAGTTGACTGCTATCGGCAGAGCTTAACAGACCATTCATTAGAGTAGAGGCCTATGAGAGAATACTGATGAAAGCAAGGTGTAAGGTGGAGATCTGTATCAGAAAGTTTCAGAAGGAAGCACAGAGTGTATTCATAACTTGGCTGGAAGCCATTTGTGCAATGTTGTCAAGGAGTCTGGCTCTTTTCTGCCCATGTCCTGAGTTTACTTGATGATAAGTTAAAAAGCAATGGGCTGATTTCCTGGTAAAGGGAATCCTGTGATAGCATAACATAGCGTCTGTTGTGGAATGTTTATTACTGATAACTCTTTGGTGGAGCTACAATGAAACAGAGTGAGTGGGGCAAAAAAATACTTAAAATGTACAATTTTGAAAAAAAAAATACACGAGGAAGCTTAATCTGGCCCTAAGGCATGTGTTTGGAAGTGTGTAAATTTGTTTTGATTTTACGGGGGGATCACAGTTGAGAGACAGCTTTGAGTCTCAAAAGAGACTGGACTTTTTGAACGGTTTTGAAAATTTGTAATAATTTGACTAAAGAGAAGTGGTATCTTAGCCATATCCAAAAGCGGGAAATCTTGAAGTCACAGCAGCTTAACCATCAAAAGCCTAGACTTTGTGCAGTTAGCTGCCCCTGACAGATTTAGCAAGTCTTGGCTTTTCATGGTAATTGCTAAGCTCAACTTTAGCGACTTTGGTTTGGGTTAGTCATAATAATATATGCTAAAAAGCTGTAGAAAATTTAGAAAGAACATATTAAGCATTTATTCAAGTTTTATGAAAGGCATTTTGGATAGTATATAATATTTACAAGGAATTTAGATCTCTACTCTTTGGAATTACATTCGAGAATTATTGCACAATGCAAACAAATTGAGAGGTTTTGTTTGTTTCTTTTGTTTGAACAGGGTCTCATTATGAAGTTCTGGCTGTCTTGGAACTAGCTATGTTGTCTAGACTGGCCTCGAACTCACAGAGATCCACCTGTCAAGTGCTAGAATTAAAGGTGTATGCCACTATGCCTGGCTACAAATTGAGTTCTAATATGAATTGTTCCCTTACGATTTTCTTTATCTTAGCTAGGAGTCTGTTTCTAACTCATTAATATTTTCTGGTCATTAGCCTTGCCCATTAAACTCCCCCGATGTGTAAAGTCTCCAGGGAGTTCAGTGTAGTTGCCTGTGGATACCACACACAATGGATACAGGGAAAATATATAGAATCTGAGCTATTCTGAAAAGACCCTAATTAAGTTCTCCCTATTCACAGAACCAGATCTTTCATCAGCGGCAACACAATGAAATTAGGGCAGGATCCTTGTAACTTGCCATGGGTGCAATCAACTGATACTAACGTTTCTTTCAGAAACACTTGAGTAAACAGCCATTATTTTTATGTGAGAATTTCTCTTCATGAGAATTGCCATCCAAGTCAATATTTTGTGGTGAACTGTGTTAGGCCCCACAGTTTACATTTAATCCTAATTTTTCTTCTGTTTTTAAAAATTAAAATCACTTTTCTTAGCTTCTAGAAATATGTCTTATACACTTATTAAACATCTTGTGATAAACATTCTGTTTATCAACACTGTAAAGAAAGTGCTGTTTTACACAGAAATAACAATAGTGAAAATGGTACTGCCATTGCTTTTGGAGCCAACATAATAGTTTTTCATCTCTTCCATGTAATATTTGTAACAATTTGGCGAAGTTCAGAAAATGGCTTGTCAACAGAAACACAGCTGGTCAATAGAACCGATTTTATATTCAGGTCACTTATTTCCCCAAAGTAAATAGACTTTTCTGCTTCTCTGTGCTGCCCATTTAAGTATTTTTTCTCCTCTAATGCACGAACACAAAATAATTTCAGAATCACGAAAAGGATCCGAGTGACAATGCAGAACTTTTACTCAAGATAATGTGGCAGTTTAAAAAGGAGGATGTCCTATCCTCTCCCGGTCATATTAACTCCCCCCTTTACATATTATTTCCTGCACTCTACCAATGGTTTGGTTATGAGTCTCAGCATCTGCTTTGATACACTGCCAGGTAGAGTCTTTCAGAGGCCCTCTGTGGTAGGCTCCTGCCCTGTTACTTGTTTTCTACTACTTCCCATGTCCATGCCATTTGTCTTTCTAGGTGAGGATTGATCATCTTACCCTGGGTCCTCTTTCTTGTTTATCTTCTTTAGGTGCACATATTTTAGTATGTTTATGCTATCTTACAGGACTATATAAGTGAGTATATACCATGTGTGTCTTTCTGCTCCTGGGATACCTCACTCAGGATGATCTTTTCTAGGTCCCACCATTTGCCTGCAAATTTCACAATTTCCTTGTTTTTAATTTCTGAGTAGTATTCCATTGTGTAAAAGTACCACAATTTCTTTATCCATTCCTCTGTTGATGGACATCTGGGTTATTTCCAGGTTCTGGTTATTATGGATAAAGCTGCTACAAACATGGTTGAACAAATGTCCTTGTTGTGAACTTGAGCTTCTTTTGGATATATGCCTAGAAGTGACACAAATATATCAGGGCACAGGGGTCCTCTATGAGACTGTTTTTCCAACCAAGGACCATGTATAGATATAACCTAGAACCCCTGCTCAGATGTAGCCCATGGTAGCTCAGTATCCATGTGGGTTTCCCTAGTAAGAGGAACAGGAACCATTTCTGACATGAATTCAATGACTGGCTCTTTTACCTGCCCCCGCTCCCTGAGGGAGGAACAGCCTTGATAGGCCACAGAGGAGGACATTGCAGCCAGTCCTGAAGATACCTGATAAGCTAGGGTCAGATGGAAGGGGAGAAGGACCTCCCCTAGCAGTGGACTTGGAAAGGGGCAGAGAGGAGATGAGAGAGGGAGGGTGGGATTAGGAGGGAATGAGGGAGGGGGCTATGGTTGTGATACAAAGTAAAAAACCTGTGATTAATATTAAAAAATAAAAATTAATAAAAAAGTAAAAATAAAAAGAAGGATGGAGGGTGGATGGGTGGTTTAATGGATGCAGAAGATAAAACACAAATGTATTCATAGAGAGGAACAATACCAGAAATGACCAGATTGTGGACCCAAAGGGAACAGATACATGTGTTATGGAGTAAAGTTGAAGACAACAGCACACAGTAAGAAAAGAGGCAGAGTTCACTAAAGAGAATGCCAAGTCTTGAGAAGTTCAGAAGTCTAGTGGGAAATGCAGACTTAGTAACAAAGCGAGGCTGATGGAATATGAACTCTGAAGTATCAGCTCTGGAGGAAGGCACCTGACGCAGCAGGCAGTTTCAGGGAAAATAACGTGCTTTGTAATATCTTTTTTTTTTAATTTATTTTTCTTTTTTTTAATTTAATTTTATTTTTTTCTTATCAGTTACATTTTATTTTTTTTTAATTTTATTTTTCTTTTTAGTTACATTTTGTTAACTCTGTGTCCCAGCTGTATCCCGTTCCCTCATTCCCTCCCCAACCCCGCACTCCCTCCCTGGTCTCCTCCCTGCCCCTTTCCAAGTCTACTGATAGGGGAGGACCTCCTCCCCTTTCATTTGACCCTGTTTTATCAGGTACCTTCAGGGCTGGCTGCAAAGTCCTCCTCTGTAGCCTAACAGACTGCTCCTCCCCTGAGAAAGACAAATGGGATGTGCATTGAACGTATGACAGGAGTCTACCACAAAAGGCATCTGAAAGACTCTACCTAGCAGTGTTTCAAAGCAGACACTAAGACTCATAACCAAACCCTCGGCAGAGTGCAGGGAATCATGAAAGAAGGGAAGTTAGTATGATATGGAAAGGATAGGAGCTCTACAAGGACCAAATATATCCGGGCACAGGGTCTTTTCTGAGACTGACACTCAACCAAGGACCATCTATGGATATAACCTAGAACTTCGGCTTTGTAATATCTTAAACCAAAGGGCAAAGTCAGACGTTCTGTTTGCTGCCAAGTCAAGATGAGGCGGTTTAGGCTACGTGGCGGTAGGGTTAAGAGAAGGTGAAGCAGGGATGTAAAGCAGTCCTGGAGAGCTCAGTGGCCGAGAGCACACTGGCTTTAGCCAAGCAGACAAAGGAATATGAGAGCTAACTTTTCAAAAATAAATACAGATGTAACTCAGATTTCAGCTTGGCGAGGTCAGATTAGCACTTTGTTTGTGAATTTGTTGAGACAAGGTACCACTGTGCTCCTCAGACTGGTTTCAAATTTTGATCCTTCTACCTCTGCCTCCCAGGTACTGGGATTATTGACTGTGCCAGTATGATTGACTCTTAATTAGTTACATTTTGTTTGGTTGGTTTTCTTGCTGAAAGCATAGACTTGCCTCAATTTGCTATATGGCTGAAAATGATTTGACTTCTAATCCCTCTACCTTCAGCTTCCAAGTACTGTTATTGTAGGCATGTGCCACCATTAGCAGCTTTGAGGCTCTTTAAAATTGATATCTAGTAGGTATTTAAACTTATGGGGTTCACTTAAATGCATCTTGCTTATTGTAAGTTTGTTTTTGTAAGGGTATATTTTTAAATGGCATTTTTTGGCTTTATTCCTCAATACAAGAAATTGCTAAAACCCTGTGTTTTAAAATTTTCAACATCAGAGACAGTTTATCCCTTTTTAAAAAAAATCTATCTATTTAATGATTGATTGATTATTTATGTAGTATTCTGCTGCGTGTATGCCTGCAGGCCGGAAGAAGCCACCAAATCTCATGAGTCACCATGTAGTTGCTGGGAATTGAACTCTGGACTTTCAGAAGAATAGCCAGTGTCCTTAACCTCTGAGCCATCTCTCCAGCACTGACAGTTTATCTCTTAATAATAAGATTATTTGTCTGTTATAATTTAAGTGACTGCTGTATTGGAAATCAAGCAAAGGTCTAGAGAGATGGTTCAATATTTGATAGTGCATAGGAGATTATATTTCAGAATTTAAATTTATAGTTGCAAGAACTGAAACTCATAACATGTATCTAAAACACAAACCAAATTTTTTCAAAAGCAAATAAAATTATTTTCAAGAACTTGAACTTAGATTTCTTAGTCTGGATTCAGTGTTGACGTTTTTATTTAAAATAAAATAAGAGATACAAGAAATGGATTCTGGGAGTGGCTCAAATGCTTTTACATTTCTTTCTCTTTTTTCTTTTCTTTCTTTTTTATTTATTTTTATTTATTTTTTTTATTTCTTTGAGACAGCATTTCTCTGTGTAGCCTTGGTTGTCCTGGACTCCCTTTGCAGACCAGTTTGGCCTGGAACTCACAAAGTTCCCCCCCCCCCCAACCTCCTCGGGTGCTGGGATCAAAGGTGTGTGCCATCATGCCCGGCTGCAGTTTACTTTTCTTACCTCAGAAACACAGCGTGAAAGCCCAATGGATTAGGCACTATTTTCACGACACTTACACTTGAGTGAGAAACGAGCAAGGAAGGTATAGTTGTAGCAACCTGGAGAGAGAGAGAGAGCGAGCTTAAATATGTCTGGAAATAACTAGGAAAGAGGCTGGAATTTGAACCCAGGTAATACAGTTGCCAAAGCTCTGTGCCGATTCTTTACCCCAGTTCTAGATATTCTTTGTATCATCCTCCACGTACAAAACAGTAACTTGAGGAAAACTAAGTATTCAAATGCATGATTACTTTTTGTCTCTTCCACCAAAGATCTTCAGATTTGGGCAAGAAGAGTCTTGACGGCTAAAAGGCAGAGACGGTAAATACTCCCAAGTTGCAGCCAGGGTCATGGGTGACGCAACATTTGACCAGGGCAACTGAAACACAAAAATGTCATCTCATCTTTCTGCTCCTCCACGTGATCACCACAACTCAGTAGGCAGTGAGTCCTCAGCTGGAGATCCTGAGCTTGTGAGGGCTCCAGAGGCGGCAAAGCGCTTACAAACGTGTTCCCGTTACGGAGCATGCGTGCATAGCAGCATGACGAGACGAAAGGAAAAATGCTTATTGTATCGGGGAATTAGCAGGCTGTGACTGAGTTCTGAGACAGCATTTTCAGCAAAACCTAGCATGCAGAAAGCCTAAGGGAAAAGCATCAAAATGTAAATGAATGCCACATCACTCCAGGCTTACAAGTGTGTAACAGAACTAGGTTAAAGTTAAAATTCAGCTTTGCAGTCTGTTGGCAGCCTATGAATATTTATCACAGGTTTTAAAAATGTTTATTTTTAACTTAATAAGTACAGAAAACATCAGAAATTTAAAAAGTAAGTGTTGAAAAGTTGTCTCTCCTTCCTGTCCATTGCCTGCTGTCTTCTGCATCTTCCTCATTAATCACCCAGGAGTGTTTTTTTCATCTTTGTGGAAATTATTTTTTTCTAAGTAAAGCACCGCCACAGTGCACTAGACTGTCATAGACTTACCCTTCCTCCCCCATGAAAGGCATTTTGAAGATCTCTATTAACAATGAGAGTTTCCTTTTCTAACAATAACATTGTATTCTATTAAAGATATAATCTATGTGAGTAATTCTGCATGGACGAATATTAGGTCATTTGCAAATCCTTGCTGTAATAAACAACATTGTTTAACCACAAGTAAATCACCTCTGTAAAGTCCCAGAAGTGGAATTGCTGGGGTGGAGGCGACAAAATGATGTGAGGGTGGCAAGCGATGCCAACACCCCAGACCTTGACTTCGTACCAACTCGTCACTTCATCACAGGGGCAAGCCCTCACCTTGACATGCTTCCCAAGGCGGTGTTAGCAATGTCTGAAGTTTATCTTGCCAACGTCATAGTTTACCATAATTTTGAGTTAGGATTCTCTTATTAAGTGCGAAGGACATCTTTTCATGTGTTCATGAGCCATTAAGACTCATTTGCTGTAAGACATCTGTCCGTACAATCTGTTTTCTTCTGAGTTGTTACTATTTTTCTTACTAATTGATGCGCCCTCTTCGCATGCAAGGGTTCTAGTGAAGCTGAGAGAGCTTTTACCCAGTGTGTCACGCCTTTTGACTTTGCATATGTTGTTTTCATGATGTAGAAGGTTTGTTGTTCTGCTCTTGAGTTTACAAAGATGAATTTATTAGTTAGATCCTCCAGCATCTAGAATTCAGGCTGTAGTTTCAAAGGTTACTTTCACTTTGGGGGTTATGAAATGGTTATTTTATTGCTCTTTAATATTCTAAACATGTTTATAATGAAATAATTTACCTGTTGAGAACAGTCTTGGTGTGCTATGATATGACAGATATGCTATGATTATTGTCCATTTGACATTTCCCGCACTTGAGCTGCCTATTTATCTATTGGATCAATCAACAGTTTGTTCTTTAGAAAGAAACAAGCACATCTTTCCAACTGCAGAGTTTCTCTAGAGCCATCCACCAACACTGCTTAGCTTCATGGTAGCTGCATAAAAGAAATGATTCAAGGATCAAATCCAGCTGTTCCAAAACAAATGCTGAAAGGGGACGAGCAGCTGAAACACCATATGCTCATACCAGAAAGGCTGGTATCTGTATTTGTTTCTTTTAAGAAAAAAGTTTCTCTATTACATACAATGTTTTCTTTGAGTCAAAATGTCAGTTATAATCTATAATGTTAGAAGTTTCTATTATACTGAGTTTTTAAAAAATCTTTAATAGTTCTTGTATTCGGTTTGCAAGTATTTTGTTGAATATTTTGCATACAAGATCACATCAAAGATATCATCCACTATGACCAAGTAGGCTTCATCCCAGGTATGCAGGGGTGGTTCAACATATGGAAATCCATCAATGTGATCCACCATATTAACAAATGGAAAAAAACACATAATAATCTCCTTAGATGTTGAAAAGCATTTGACAAAATCCAACATCCATTCATGTTTAAAGTGTTGGAGAGATCAGGGATACAAGGCACATATCTAAACATAGTAAAGGTAATATACAGCAAGCCTATAGCCAACATCAAACTAAACAGAGAGAAACTTAAAGCAATCCCATTGAAATCAGGGACAAAGTAAGGCTGCCCACTCTCTCCATATCTCTTCAACATACTTCTGGAATTTCTTGCTAGAGCAATAAGACAGTTGAAGGAGATCAAGGGGATACAAATTGGAAAGGAAGAATTCAAATTATCACTATTTGCAGGTGGTATGATAGTATACCTGAGTGACCCCAAAAATTCTACCAGGGAACTCCCACAGCTGATAAACACCTTCAGCAAAGTGGCTGGATACAAAATTAACTAAAAAAAAAAAAAATCAGTAGCCCTCCTGTATACAAAAGACAAAAGGGCTGAGAAAGAAATTAGGGAAACAACACCCTTCACAATAGCCACAAATGACATAAAGTACCTTGGTGTAACTCTAACCAAGCAAGTCAAAGACTTGTATGAAAAAAAATTTCAAGTCTCTGAAGAAAGAATTAGAAGATATCAGAAGATCTCCCATGCTCATGGCTTGGCAGGATTAACAGTAAAAATGGCCATCTTACCAAAAGCAATCTACATATTCAATGCAATTCCCATCAAATTGCCAACACAATTCTTTACAGAGCTGGAAAGAAAAATTCTCAACTTCGTATGGAATAACAAGAAACCAAGAATTGCTAAAACAATCCTCTACAATAAAAGATCTTCTGGAGGTATCTCCATTCCTGATCTCAAGCTGTACTATAGAGCAACAGTAATAAAAACTTCATGGTACTGGCATAGAATCAGAATGGTGGATCAATGGAATTGAACAGAAGATCCAGAAATAAACCCACAAACTTATGGACACCTGATCTTTGACAAAGATGCCCAAAACCATACAATGGATAAAAAGATAGCATCTTCAACAAATGGTGCTGGTCTAACTGGATGTCTACATGTAGAAAAATGCAAATAGATCCATACTTATCACCCTGCACAAAACTAAAGTCCAAGTGCATCAAAGACCTCAACGTAAAACTAGACACATTAAATCAATTAGAAGAAAAAGTGGGGAAGACCCTAGAACTCATTGGCACAGGAGACAACTTCCTGAACAGAACACCAACAGCACAGGCTCTAAGAGCACCAATCAATAAATAGGACCTCATGAACTTGAAAAGCTTCTGTAATGCAAAGGACACTGTTGTCTACCTACAGTTTGGGAAGAATCTTCACCAACCCTTTATCTGACAGAGGACTAATATCCAGTATATATAAAGAACTAAAGAAGCTGAAAAGCAGCAAACCAAGTAATCCAATTTTAAAAATCGGGAACAGAGCTAAACAGAGAACTCTCTGTAGAGGAATATAGAATGGCAGAAAAACACTTAAAGAAATTCTCAACATCATTAGCCATTAGGGAAATGCAAATCAAAATGACCCTGCGATTTCATCTTATACCCTTCAGAATGGCCAAGATGAAAAACTCAAGGGACAACACATGCTGGAGAGGTTGTGGAGAAAGGAGAACCCTCTTCCACTGCTGGTGGGAATGTAAACTGGTACAACCACTCTGGAAATCAATCTGGCGCTTTCTCAGACAACTAGGAATAGCACTTCCTCAAGATCCAGCCATACCACTCCTAGGTATATATCCAAAAGAGGCTCAAGTACACAAAAAGGACATTTGCTCAACCATGTTTGTAGCAGCTTTATTTGTAATAGCCAGAAGCTGGAAACAACCCAGATGCCCCTCAACTGAAGAATGGATGCAGAAATTGTGGTACATCTATACAATGGAATATTACTCAGCAATGAAAAATAAGGAAATCATGAAATTTGCAGGTAAATGGTGGGACCTGGAAAGGATCATCCTGAGTGAGTTGTCCCAGAAGCAAAATGACACACATGGTATATACTCACTCATATAGACATACAACATAGGACAAACCCACTAAAATCTGTCCATCTAAAGAAACTAAGCAAGAGAGAGGACCCTAACTAAAATGTTCAATTCCCACCTGAAAGGCAAAGAGGATGGACATCAGAAGAAGAAGAAAACAGGAAACAATCTAGGAACCTGCTACAGAGGGCCTCTGAAAGCCAGAAGAAGAAAACAGGAAACAAACTAGGAAACTACCACAGAGGTCTGAAAGCCTCTGCCCTGCAGATTATCAAAGCAGATGCTGAGCCTGATGGCCAACTGTCAGGCAGAGTGAATAGAATTTTATGTAAGAAGTAGGAACTAGTAAGAGCTGGAGAGGACAGGAACTCCACAAGGAGAGCAACAGAACAAGAAAATTTGAACACAGGAAACTTCCCAGAGACTCATACTCCAACCAAGGACTATTCATGGAGATAACCTAGAACCCCTGCACAGATGTAGCCCATGGCAGTTCAGTGTCCAAGTGGGTTACATAGTAATGGGAAGAGGGACTGCCTCTGACATAATCTGATTGGCCTGCTCTTTGATCACCTCCCCCTGAGGGGGGAGCAGCCTTACCAGGCCACAGTAGAGGACAATGCAGCCACTTTTGATGAGAACTGATAGACTAAGATCAGAAAGGAGAGGAGAACCTCCCCTATCAGTGGACTTGGGGAGGGGCATGCATGCAGAAAGGGGAGGGAGGGTGGGATCGGGAGGGGAGGAGGGAGGGGCTTATGGGGGGATACAAATTGAATAAAGTGTAATTAAGAAAAAATAAAAAAAGTAAAAAAAATCTTTAATAGAATTCTTTATATCAAAATGAGTATAGAATTTTTCTTACTAACATGGTAAACATATTAATCCATATCTTATTTTCAAAACACTCTATTTAATTCCATTCTAAAAGGATATTTTAAAATATAGT